ATATTATATATATATATATATATATATATATATACACACACACACACACACACACACACACACACACACAGTTATTATAATAATAGCATAGCTTGAGAAGACATGGTGTCGGGAGCAGTGCAGGTTATATTAGCACCAGTAGAGGGCGATCTAATGTTAAACACTCTGCCAATGTACAAAATGGAATACCGGCTTACTACTTTCTAAGTTGCTTACTACCTTGCAGCACAGTCTGTATAGGATTCAGAATTTGAAATGAAGGAGGTAGGATTAAAACACATTTATGAACCACATTTAACTGCTTTACGTGTAGTTTTAATCAGGTATGAATCCGTATGAATCGCCTTTAAACAAAAATGCAACCCTTGTGAAAAAGTGTGCTTAATTGTATTAAATGTGGACTTCAAATCTTAAGTTTCTATTCAAATAAAATGCAGATAATACAATGCAACAAAAGGCCACGTAAGTGTACTTAGTAATAATGTCACATTAAAAGTTTTACTTTAGAGTACATTTTAAATAATTGTTTAAATAATCATTTATAATGCATTGAAGTATACTTATTTGATGTGTTGACTAACATATTAAAGCGCATGTAAAAGACCTACTTATAATTTTAATTGTAGTGTTATTTGATGTTACATTTTAAGTTTAAAATGTATATTTAAAATGTACTAAATTGCAACTTGCAAATGCAAAAAAATATTTGTATGAGATACAAGTTTAAGTAGAAATGACACAGAATTTTAGTTTATCATCAATGTTTGTCAGGACACTCAACAGTACACTTTAACCATATTTCAAAGAAAATAGGAATAATAAAAAAAAAATGCATATAAAGATGTACTTAAATCCTATTTTAGGTGGGTCAAAAATCACTTTTAAGTTCAACTATGTCTTTTAATATAAATTTAAACCATTATATATTTCTATGCAATCTAACAATACATAATATGTGTCCTTTAACATCTCGGTCTCAACTCATTACTTGATTGGACACCAATTAATCGAACAATATTTATTTCCAACATGATAACTGGACACCATTCGAGACGATCCACTCATATGTATTAATGGAAGAAATTATAACACTCAATATGCTGGCTGTAGGAATAAAAGTCCCACCTTACAGTTAGTTTGTTTATTCTAGAAATTGCATGTGTGTTGGATGGACCAGCCTAAAAAAAATATTTGTATTTAAACAACACTCTCTCATGGCAATTCATAACTATTTTACATTTTGCCAAATTGGTGTCTAATTTATTTGAATTCACACAGTTTCATTCATACGTTATTATATGATCTTCTCATGCTATTTATTCAAATAGTTACTCAGATTTCTGTTTTTCTCCATTCAAGTACATAGAAACTGTTCTTGCATGGCTGAAAATACCTGTCTGGGGGTGTTAGGAACATGGTTGTTCAGTGAACTGACTTGCATTAAAGGGACAAGATTAAGTAAGTAGTGAGCTAGTATTCTATTTCGAACATAGCTTATGTTTCAAGTCTTAGACTTACGTGCTGTTGATGATTTGAAACTTCTCTCCCTTCCTGAAACTGAGATCATCTTCTGTCCGGGCCTCATAATCATAGAGAGCAACAAACAGTGTCACGCCTGAGAGAGAGAGAGACATCAGCACCATGAGAATTAAGAATAAATTAAAGCATACTTTTATCTTGGATGGGGACAAAAAACATTTTGGTCTGCGTGAACTGACTTGCATTAAAGGGACAAGATTAAGTAAGTAGTGAGCTAGTATTCCATTTCGAACATAGCTTATGTTTCAAGTCTTAGACTTACGTGCTGTTGATGATTTGAAACTTCTCTCCCTTCCTGAAACTGAGATCATCT